GGAAAGGAAAGGAAAGGAAAGGAAAGGAAAGGAAAGGAAAGGAAAGGAAAGGAAAGGAAAGGAAAGGAAAGGAAAGGTTGTTATGAAAGCAAGCTTTCTGTTGGCAAACCCTCTTTTTCTCTTGCATATTGCTTCTCTTTGCCTCTTGCAAGCTGTAATGCTGAAATGACAGCATGCCAGTAATTCTGCAATCAGGTTTCCATACCAACAGGAAGAAATCAAACCATCAATAAGCTCAGTGGAATGACCATAATTTAAAGGTAGAAAACTTTGCTCCAGTTTCAAATAAAACAATATAGAACTAGGAATAGTTCTGACTTAATTCCCCAAAGCAAGTTAAGTCATATGATCAAACATGTCCAGAACTGATTCTAAACTGGTGCAAAGTCCTCATGTAGACATTATCTTAGTTATCTTGGTCAAACGTGAGTCTTTTCTCATTTGTATCTAATTGCAGCACAAAGATACCATTGCAACCCTTTTCCCCCTGTTTTCATTATATTGCCTTCATATAATCTCCAGCTCAAATGTGAGGCAGCCTTGAGTTTTCCTTAGCCATACTGGTATTAAATTAATGTTTTCACCCTTAACCCAAGGCAGGTTTTGCTGTAGATACAATCTAACATGTACACTAACCATTCTGCTGATGGCATATTGAGATGATCCCTTGGATTTGCTTGGACACTTTAGCCTGGTGTGGGCATGCTCCCTCCCCTCTGTTCTCAGGCACTGTTTTCCACGTTTATTCTGCTTTGGGCTGCAGGAAAGTCCAGTTCTTTCAAACTGGGCTTTCCCCTGGTACTTACTAAATCTCTAAGTCAACCCCTAGAGACTGGATCAGCCCAAACAGCAACTGATTAGTGGGCAGCAAGGGTGGGTGGGGAGCTGCATGGTGAAGGAGTGAAGCCAGCTCTCTCTCTCTGCTACTTCATAGCCCAATTCTCCTCATGCTTGTTAGCTGTCAAAAAGGAGCCCAATGATCAGCTGATGTCAACTGAGAGACTCCTTTGGAATGCATCTGTGCAAAGCACTTGTGTCAAACCAGAGCAAGTTTTGAAAGATGGCTAAGCCCACATCTGGCCATTTGTCAAAACCTGCCTCCTCCTCAGCCCATTCCACCTTCAAGAGAGTGACTGGTGAATATTTTCCCATGTGGCTGGTGACATTTGGTGAGAGCAAAAGATAGTAAGTCTAGAGGAATCCATCAATCCCTCTCCTTCACTTGCCATGCATAAGGAGAGCACAATTTATTTATTCATTTATTAAATTTGTATGCTGCCCATCTCCCCCAGTGGGTGACTCTGGGCGGCTCACAATAAAAGTAAAAGCCACAAACAATTAAAAAATAAATACCCCCATTAATTAATTAAAATTAAAATTAATTAATTAATTAAAAAGTCAAACTACAGAAACAAGTCCTATACATAAAAACTAAAAAACATTCAAGATGACGGGGGAGTAACATCAATTACCCCGCAAGCCACTTCCACTAGTATGAGCCCCCATATGGCCCCCAGGCCATCTGCCATAGCCAGGATTTCACGCTCTTCCTGAAGGCTGTGAGAGTGGGAGCACACCGCACCTCAGGAGGTAGGTCGTTCCACAGAGCGGGGGCCACGGCAGAAAAGGCCCTCTTCCTAGATCCCACCAGTCGAAATTCCTTGACTGGTAGGGTCTGCAGCATGCCCCTTCTGCCAGACCAAGTGGGGCGGGCTGATATAACAGGGGCGAGACAGTTCCTCAGATAACCTGGTCCTGTGCCATGAAGAGCTTTAAAGGTAATAACCAACACCATGAATTGGACCCGGAAACAAACTGGCAACCAATGCAGCTTGTGTAACAGTGGTGTTACATGGGCCACGCAGGGGCATTCGGAACTGTCTGTGCCGCTGCATTCTGCGCCACCTGAAGCTTCTGGATACTCTTTAAGGGTAGCCCCATGTAGAGCGTGTTGCAGTAATCCAACCAGGAGGTGACCAGGGCGTGAGTGACCGTGCAGAGGGCCTCCCAATCGAAGAAGAGGGGTAACTGACACCCGACACGAAGTTGCGCAAAGGCCCTCCTAGCCACGACTGCCACCTGCTCTTCGAACAGGAGTTGTGA